CACACACACACACACACACACACACACACACACACACACACACACACATGCATATATAGCTGGCAATTTGTTCGGTTTTTTTATGCATATTCTTTGAGAATTGCCTTTGTCTTTCGTTTTGTCTTTTATGCTTTATGCTCACAATTTGCCTTAAAAAAGAGAAAAAACAAATGCCATTCTGAATGCCGTTATATACAGTTACACACATTCACACACACACACACGAACATAAACAGAATGAAACTTGAACATAAAATCAGCAGAAGCTACAAGAGCTGAGTGCTGTCCAAAGTTAACATGCGTCTGTTAAATAGCAACTGTTAAGTACGCACGTTACATTTTGAGCATTTTAAACATTTTCTATTCAAGCAAAACTTTAATTTTTTCTGCAACTTAATTAAGCTTTAAAATAACAAATTTGTAGACAACTTTTGTGTGTTGTTGTTGATGCTGCTGAAAAAGTGCTAAGAGAGAGAAAGAGAGAGAGAGACAAAGAGAAAGTATGTATATCGATAACAGCGATAAAGAGAGAAGTTAATACAATCTCAACATGCGAAAAAAGATCCACTGATAAATAAACTGAAATGATACAGCGTACAGCGTTTTCTGAGGCCAACTCTCAACATTAGAATATCTTTGTATGGTTAATTTGATTACAGTCACGTTATGCGTTCTCACCACAGGACACAGAATTTACATTTCCAAGTTCCTCGTCGCGTCGCGGTTACAACGATTTCCCTGGGGGCAATGGCGGCAGCGCCAATTCCCTCGGCGGCAACATCTGCAACATGCCAATGGCCAGCAACAATTCGCTGAACAATCTGTGCGGCCTATCGATCGGCAGCGGCGGCAGCGATGATCTGATGAACGATCAGCGCACAAGCAACACCAATTTGATAGTGAACTATTTGCCGCAGGATATGACTGATCGCGAGCTGTATGCCCTATTTAGAGCCATTGGACCCATCAACACGTGCAGAATCATGAGAGACTATAAGGTGAGCTCAGCCACTGTTCACTACAATTAATATATAAATTACTATATCTTTTATTTTACTTTCTTCGATTCGATTCGTTTAGACTGGCTACAGTTTTGGTTATGCTTTCGTGGACTTCACATCGGAAATGGACTCGCAGCGTGCTATAAAAGTTCTCAATGGGATCACAGTGCGCAATAAGCGGCTCAAGGTAAATATAGGCAAAATGAGGATAAAAGTGAATTAGAGCCTGATATAGGTGCTATACAGTTAATGAATAATTGAACTAGTTCCAATGAACAAATCCAACACTTAACTTTCATCTCAACTGATTCTCGCTCTGATCTCATACTCCAACTTCTATATGATGATGATATTATAATTACGATCTCTTGCTTCTGTTGCAGGTTTCATATGCGCGTCCGGGCGGTGAGTCGATCAAGGATACAAATCTGTATGTGACCAATCTGCCGCGCACGATAACCGACGATCAGCTGGACACGATCTTTGGCAAATACGGTTCCATAGTGCAAAAGAATATATTGCGTGATAAGCTAACTGGGCGGCCAAGGGGCGTGGCGTTTGTGCGGTAAGTTGCAGATAAACAAGAAAATTACATAAATCCATGTGAATCGATAAATAATCGATAACAGCTGGATACATCAATAATCTCTATCGCATCCAATCAACATTTTCCATTCTAATCATGTTTTTTTGTTTATTTTTTTTTTTATTTATTTTTTATTTTCATATTTCACATTTGTCTATTCCTACTAAATATATATGTGTATATATATCGAAATCGTTATCGATATCTGTGATACATCGTCTATAGCTATAACAAACGCGAGGAGGCACAGGAGGCTATCTCGGCGCTGAACAATGTTATACCAGAGGGCGGCTCCCAGCCACTGTCCGTGCGCCTGGCCGAGGAGCATGGCAAGGCAAAGGCGGCGCATTTCATGTCACAGATGGGAATGGGACCGCCGCAGGCGCCGCCACCACCACCACCACCACCACCGCACATGGCGGCCGGCTTCAATAACATGGTTCACAGAGGTAGATCATTAAAATCACAACAGCGCTTCCAAAAAACGCATCCCTACTTTGATGCACAAAAGTTTATCTAAAACAAAAGTAAACAAAACTGATCAAACAACCCAAACAAAGCAAAGCAAAGAAATGAAATGAGATGAAACAACAAACATCTAATGAACATGCCCAAGCAACACACCAGTTTATGCATATGAAATGAGAAATCCTATATATATATATATATATATATTTCTATTATATATATATATATACATATAATATTCTTTTTTATTTGACAAACAAGACACCAACAATCCAACCAATCAACCAACTCTAACAACTTCCCAAGGAGAAACACACAAAAAAAAAAAAAAAAAAAAAAAAAAAAAAAAAAAAAAAAAAACAATTAAAAAAAACAACTTTAAGCATACTTAACTCTAAATATAAAAATAATTTCCTAGTTCTTTTTTTTTATTAGCAACATTTTTTTCTATATCATAACAAAAAACAATTTCCCGTTGCGAATTTTTTATTTTTTTGTTTTTTTTTTTTTTTTTTATTTTGTTTTCCATGTAAAAATAGAAGAGAAAAATGTTTGCTATATATATTATAAAATATATTTGCAATTAATTATCTATAAATAATTAGGGTCAAAATACAAACGAATTGAATTGTATATTTGAACAGTAACTTTTTTTTTAACATAAAAAAAAAAAAAACAAAAAATATTATAAAAAAATTTAAAAAAAGCAAATGCGTATTTTTAACTTAAAATTAACTTTAGATAATACTAACGAAAACACAAAAACAAAAACTGGAGAAAAAAGCAGGCAATTTTTTTTTTAAGCTGAAAAAAACATTAATTTTAAATTTCGTTAGCTTTTCCACAAATGAGTTTTAGTGCAGCCAAGAAAAACAACTCAACACACCCACACACACACACGCACACTCATACACAATCACACCGATACACCACACACACACACACATAGATACACATCAATAAAAATAAAGAGCAAAATAATCTGAAATAAATTGAGAAACGCAAAAAACCGAACCCAAGTGCCGTAGAAATTGTTCTTCTAATCCTTAAACAACGATCAACTCATGCATAACAGTAAACGAAACAGAAGACAACTAATTGAGATATCGATAACAGTTTGTCGATAACAATATCGATGGCAATTTAAGCTTTGTTGGCTGCGCTGTTTTTAGGCTTGGAGCAAACAAGCAAATAATATATATATATATATCAATTTTTTTATACATATACACATACATATATACCAATCTAAATATATATATACACTTAAAGAAAATGTGCTAAACAAATCCAACGTTTTTTTTCGAGTGTATGTGTGCAAAAAAAAATGAAATAAAAATGGACTGAGCTGCATATAAAATAATAAATAACTAAAGCAACAAAAAAATATCCCACGGCAAATAACTAAAAAAAAAAAGAATAAGTAAAAAAAGTGTTTTTTTTTTTTTTTTTTTTTTTTTTGTGGCAAGCATAAAATCTAAATCATAAAATAATAATAATTTAAAATCAAAACTGAACTGAACTGAACTAAAGGAACTGAAAATTAATTTTAAAAAATTACAAAATTAAATATATAATTAAAATATTAATAATAATTAACAAAAAAAAAAAAACGTTGCCCTGTTTGAACCATGCTACAAAAACAACAACAAAAACAAAATATAAAACACAATCGCATCATATTTATGATTTAACAAACCAACAAATTATTCTCATAACATATATAGATATATAAACAAAAGTAAAGTAAATTTATATATAGATATACATATAGTACATATATAGATACCATATAACATATATTGACTATATATATATAAACGTATCTATATCTGCAAAACATAGCGTTAAATTTTAAATTATTTAGTTTGTAGTGCGTTACAACAACAACAACAACAACACCAGCAACAACAACTACAACAATAACAACAACAACACATCAACGCAACGCCGATCGACAGAAGCGAGAAAGCATATATAATCATATATAAATATATATATATGTACATATGTATATATATACATATATATATATATATATATATATATATATATATATATAT